GGGATTTTGGGGGTGGGATTTTTTTTATTTTTGTTGGGGGGGGGGGGGGGTTCTGGGGGCCGAGTTAGCATGGTGTGCGTGTGTTGGAAAAAGGGGGATTGCATTTAGTGCTATCTATAGACATTGTCAATTTGGCTGTATTGGTGGTTCTAGGATCTTCTTATTTTAATACCATATTCTTTTTTAAGGGAATTTGTTACCAGGAAACAACCACCAGTTTTTCTGTGTCTGGATTAATGTTTCCGTGTAATATAAAATTCATTGTAGGTGTAACCATTGTGAGTATATATCTGAACGCTCCAGACACAGCGCAGTGTCAAGCTCCAATTCTATGTAGCTTTGTGTGAAAGAGAAATTTAGATAGGAGATGCCAACAATTCTGATTTTCCCCTGCTGATTACCCTGCTATGGCAGCATGAATAGAACAAAGTAAAAAGCGATTTTAGCATTGTTTCTGTCTATTCTACATCACTGTGATATTGCTCGATCTGTATCAGAGATGCTTTATGTAGACTGGAGCTATTTTTATTTCAATGCTAACACATGTATTGACTTACAGGGCTACTTTACTATGAAGACATCACTAGTTCTGTAACAAAGACGGAAGCAGATGCAGTTGAGCATCTTATCAGGACCGTTATTTGTGGATTTGTATCAGATGCCATTGTGACAGTCACTGGTGGCTTCAGAAGGTACTGTGACGCTGATAGACTTTTCCTTTCCATTCACAGCTTACATCATTGTAGATTTTGGCAGGGATTTTTATCATGTTCCTCATACAGATGGACAGATGTTTCATAACAATTGTATTAACATTTGCACAGTGTAATTCCAGAGTACATAGAATGTGTCAGGGTTGTTTGCCAGTCCTGTTTGCTAGTTTTCTAGTCCTGAATACAATATTATTTTGTCTCTTAAAGGAAATTCACTGTTCAGGGCATCCGAGTATACACCCCAGCTATTAAATTGATCTAGAGACTTGCAGAGTGAACCTTTAATTCCTAACCTAAAAAATATATATTTGTGAGAACATATAAATTGTAGTTTTGTTTGTGGGGGGGTTAAAGAAACCTTATCCAATCCAGCATTGTCAGCACATAGCAGGTGCCAGCACATTGGGTCTTTTCTCATCCCAGAAATGTCTGTGTGCTCTAAATATACTTACGACTATATAGATGGGTTCGGAGTCTGGCAACACCCCTTTCTGTCTCCTAAGCCTTGCTATTGGCCAATGGGGCTGCCTATCACAGTATGACAGTCTGTGAATTACAGCCATTGCACTGGAAAATGCATTATATCGAGAAATCTAAGATATACGCACTTATTTATTGTCCATACTGACATCTTTATCAAAAGCTACACATATTCAGGGTCTCTGTATTAAATATGAAAAGGAGAACATAAGTTAGCTAAAATATTTAAACTAGCATTAATTCTACCAAATTTGTTACGCATTAAACAAAGCAAAGGTGCATTTTTTTGCATTTTTTAGAAACAATATACTCAGGGTATTTTTTAAAAACAAATGACTAAATGAATGTCCAATATGTGATAAACAAACACTGTGAAAAGCACATGCAAAGTAGTTACAAATGTTATTGTTGAGTAAACCAGTGCCCTCCAGTTATGGTCTGATGATGGAGGTTTTGATTACCCCTGGACATGAAAGTGTTAAACTGTTTTATTCAATAGCAGTTAAGGCCATTGATGGAGAAAGTGTGTGAACCCTCATATTTAATGAATAGCGGTGTGTCCTGTATCGATAGTAACCAAAAAAAAATAGCTTCTGCAGCTGCAGTTCAGAACTGTGGCAATTGTTTTATTTCATGTATGATTTTGGGATGTCTTACTTGAGAGGGCTTGTTTAAGTTTACACTACAGCATTTCAGTTGGATTGCGGTCAGCACTTGGATCTGGCTTTTTTGAGGTACATTTTTTTTTTTACTCTTAGGTTTTGAAACCTGGTCATGTTCAATGGCACATGTTTTTTAGGTCAAAAAAGTTCTGCTAAAGAGTTGCAGCTTATAATTCAGTGATCCTTGAAGTGATGATTTTAAAAAAATCGAAACTGATACTATCTTCTGATTTACAGTGAACTTGTGTTTTACTTGACAGAGTTACAGGTATAGTTTAAAGAGTAATTCCCTTTTCCCAGGCCAATTTGAGAAAAGGAAATTATCTCCATCAATCTGCCCCCCAGCCCCTTGCTCTTACCTGTCAAAAAGCGCTCCTTCCCTTCCCAGGCTGCCGGTGTAGGACCTGTACACCATGCACAGCAGTACAGCCCTGCAATTGATATTCTAAATTCCACTCGCAATTGGCATGCACTAATTGGTCAGCGTAGTCACCTAACTGTGCTGACCAATGAGGAGTTCTTCTCATTGGTCAGCAAGGTTAGATGTAGAAGAAGTGCCTCTCACTGGTGTTGCCATTTTCGAGTGGAATTTAAAATACCGCCTGCATGGCTGCGCTGCTGTGCACGGTGTATGGGTCCTGTATTGGCAGCCTGGGAGGGGAAGGAGCGTTCATTGACAGGTAAGAGCAGCAGGCATGAGTGATGGGGGGGAGGGGCAGATTGATGTGGGTATTCCATTATTTGCAAAATTCGCCTGGGAAAGTGGAATGACCCTTTAAAGGATCTTTAAGCAGATTGTACTTATGTTCCCTGTGGACTCGATCTTCAACAACGCAATCCAAGAAAGTTCAAAGTTTTGGCTTTCTCAGCAATATATAAGAATCTTAGGCAGTCTGAAGTCAGAACTCGATGCAGGGAAGAGCGGGTATGGGCAAAGCACAAGCTCACGTGAAGAAGGCAATTTTAAAAAAAGTTCTGTTTTTGGCAGTGAAAAAGTTAAAAGTGCTGTACAGTATATTATAAATAACTGTGCTCATTGGGTCAGTCATGACGTAAATTAAAATTGTTGATGTGTGCAAGCATAATACATTGTTTTGGAGTGGTAAATATTTAAAAAACATGTAAAAATAATGATCTGCGATTACCATTCTTCAATAACAATAACACTCATTTATTTATTAGAAGAGAGACTGTGCCTTTCCTTGCCAACAGATGTGTCTACATTATTTAACAGCTCATCAGCCCCGTTATCTTGTTCAGGAGAATATGAAGCAGAGATTGTTTGCTATGGATTTTTATCTGTCACCGGCAGCTGACAAATACTTTAATACACTTGTAGCTCACTTTAGTTTGGGTGAACATAACAAGTTATTTGTTCTATGTTATTTTGAAAATGATAGTTATCTAATGATCGTGTAATATATCAACTGATATCATTTCTTCATTTCTGGGGAGCTACTGTGTATTTTTAGAGAGTATTAAGTTTGATTCAAGTGTGCACTGTACCCAATTTTTGATGAGCCCCCGTTAGTGGCTGTCTGTATGTATGTGCTGAATGGCAGTTACAACTGCAGTGTATAACTTACAGGATAACCCTGGAGAGAGTATGGTTTTAAGATTGCGTGCATACTAGTCATTGATCTAGGATGACAGTCCCATTCTAGCCATTTTTAGCCAGATTGGGCAACAATGTTATCTCTATGGAAGGACCCTGACCACACTGGCCACCCTCTGGTTAGAAAACTAGCCCAATTAACCCTTCACTTCTACAACATTTCCAAAATATGACCCTTTTTAACCATCGACACCACCAAGATACTTAGTCACTCCCTTGTTAATTCTTGCCTTGACAACTGCAACTCCCTCCTCGTTGGTCTTACGGTACACATGTTCTCCTCCTTTAGTCTATCATATATGCTACTGCCAGACTCATCCACTTTACCAACCACTCAATGTCTGCTACTCCCCTCTAGCAATCCTTCCACTAGCATCCGCTTGCCCAACAAATAAAATGTAAAATACTAACAACAACATACAAAGCCATCCACAGCTCTGCCCCAAGCAATATCACCAACCTCATCTCAAAATTTCACCCAAACCGCCCTCTTTGCTCCACCCAAGGCCTCCTGCTCTTTAGCCCTCTTGTCACTTCCATCTATGCTTATTTCCAGGACTTCTCTAGAGCCTCTGCCATCCTCTGCAACTTCCTATCCCAATCTCTACTCTTTCCACCTTTAGGTGATCCCTGAAAACTAATCTCTTCAGGAAAGCCTATGCTGCCTAAAAAGTGAACTTTTACCTTCTCCATCAACCTATCCTCGCACAGATGTCAGCTCTCATGAGCAGGGCTCTCCTAACCCGCTTGTTTTGCATTGTATTGTAACTGTACCATCTCCCTTTATTTTGTAACGCTGCACAAACTGTTGGCGCTATATAAATCTTGTATAATAACAATAATAATGATTTTCTGAGTGACACACCACTTTCATTGAACTCTTTTGATAAATAATTTTCCATATACTAAAATTGTTTTTGGTCGATAAAAGCCCAACTCACAATTGTATTTTTAGCAAAATTAAATGCATATTAAACTGCATGCAAAATGCATTGTAAGGTTTGTGCATTTATAGTGCTGGAAATGCATGAACAAATGTGCAGTGCCATTGTAATGATCACCACGCAGCTACATTCGTTGGCAGTCTTCCTGAAATCTTCAAACCAGTTGTATATGGATGCTCACCTCTGCCATCTTCTAAACAATATTGCACACTGCAGCATGGTTACACTGAAGCTGCTCACAATTAATAGTTTTTAAATTGAGTTTCAAAGATTCAGGCAGTCCTTGATCAATGTGTTAATAACTTGCCTTGCTGCTTTTTTATGAATTTGTTATCTGTTACTATCTGGCTTGCTCTTGACTCCTTTCTCAACACATCTTCATACACTGTACATATGGTTGCTTTCTAGTTACAGTTTGAATTGATCTCAATTCCTGATTTTGCCTGTTGCCTGCCCTGACATTCAGCTTCTTCTCAACTGCATTAGTTTGCCACTAGCTCTGACCCCAGCTTGTCCTGACTCTTTGATTTGGGACTATTTTGGTTCTGCCTCATCAGGTGTCCTTATTTGAACAAACCCAAGGCTTTTGCTCTGGTTTTGTCTGCAGTACAACATCTACACACCTACACCTTTGACGGCTCTAGAGAAGACACCCTAGAGTTGTGCCCCAGGATCCAGGTCTTTCTGTGGCAATGCCTTTAAACACGTCACAAATGCGTAGGAAAAAAAATTGTCTTTGCTTTAAGTTTACCTTTGAATGAATTAAAAACTGTATAATGACTGGTGCATGCATAGTGCGTTAAATAGTCTGTATACGAGTTACATTATCAATGCTGCCCAATAGTAGAATTAAGTCTGCGGTTTGGAAAAAGTGATGGAGGAGATGGTAGCAGTGGTGACAGAGTGATAATGGGAAGTGTGGAGTCTTCAGCCTGGAGAGGGGGTAAACTAAGAATTTTCTGTGCATACTTCAAACATTATAGCAAGTGCTCTTAAGGTCACCAGGGCACTTAATTTCCCTTTTAAAAAAAGGACCATGCAGAAACTGAAGTGTGGGATTTTTTTAGGACCCCACTCTTCAGATACTATAGTTCTTCTGAGATTTAAGCTACTTGAACTTAAAGTACACCTAGGTCTAGACTATGGACACTATGGAAGTATTTACACACTCTTTACAAGCAGATAAAGCACTTTAAAACAAGCCATCCCTGATGTCTCTAGCTGCTTGTACTTTTAAATCATTTATCCTCAAAGATCACAATAAAGACATTTGTCTCT